GAGCAAATAACAATGCTTACAACCCTTTCTTTTTTCCCAGAACAGTGGCAGGGTGGAACGCTCTTCACCAAGAAATCGTAACGAGCAATAGTCTAGTTTTGTTTAAAATATGCCTTTCTCAACTATGTATGTAAACAATATTGTCACAAATGACAAGCGATAAGGCGGCAAATAACTGAGTAAACGGAACATTTAATGGGGCGAACTTGTGCTCAAAACAAAAAAGGAAAGAAAAGATAAGAGCAGACCGCCACGGGCGTCGAAGTCGGCGTAACATCAGCTCTATCGTTCGTAATACGGCTTCAGCTGGACGACGTGCACCACCTCGGGTCGCGGCTGACGTCTTGTTGATGGTCGTACTCCGTCTGGAAGAACTTCGTAGTTCAGATCTCCGAGGCGTCGGATGATCTTGTAAGGTCAAAAGTAGCGCTTCAGCAGTTTTTCGCTGAGACCGTGGCGACAAATCGGCGTCCACACCCACGTCTGTCTCTGGGCTGGAAGTGGACGGCGCGGCGCCGAAGATTGTACCGTCGAGCGTCGACACGCTGTTGATCGCGGATTCGAAGGCGGGCTAATTGGCGTGCCTCTTCTGCTCTCTGACTGACCGCATTCCATGGGCATCGTCGAATCCTTCATCCACTGGCTCATGGGGAAGCATCGCGTCCAGCATGGTCGTCACTTTTCTGGAATGCACCAGCTCGAATGGTGTAAACCCGGTAGCTTCTTGAGCTGCGGTGTTGTAGGCGAACGTGACGTGTGGTAATACCTCGTCCCACGCCTTGCGCTCTACGTTGACGTACATGGAGATCATGCCGGCGATCGTCTTGTTGAGCCGCTCCGTTAGCCCGTTGGTCTGAGGATGGTACGCGGTGGTCCGACGATGACATGGTGTGGCTGAGCCGAAGGATTTCTTGCGTGAGCTGAGCCAAGAACGATTACCCTCGGTCGGTTATCAAGACTTCGGGGCGCCATGTCGAAGGAGAATAGATTCGACAAAAAACTTGGCGACTTCTACCGCTGTTCCCGACGGAAGGGCTTTCGTCTCGGGGTATCGTGCAAGGTAATCGGTCGCGGCGATAATCCAACGGTTTCCTTGCGTCGATGTTAGGAACGGCCCAAGTAAATCCATACCGACCTGCTGGAAGGGCGTAGTTGGGGCAGATATCGGCTGCAAAACTCCTGTTGGCTTCGTCGGAGGCTTCTTACGTCGTTGGCACTCATGGCACGACCGTGTGTACAGATGGACGGTTTTCGGGAGTCTCGACCAGTAGTACTTGTTACGAATCAGGGCGAGCGCCCTGCTGTAGCCAAGGTGTATAGCCGTCGGGTCGTCGTGGCATGCTTGAAAGATTTCTTCTCGCAGGCTGGCAGGAACAACCAGCAGCAGGCACGGTTGCTGGTTCCGAAGTTCTTCCTGAAGAGCACGCCTTGTCGCAGAACGAAGCTTGACAAGTCTCGGGCCAAGACTCGAGGTGATCGACCACGCCGCGAAGTTCGGGGTCGTCTCGTTGAAGTGCTCCCATGTCGGTATCTGTAACTGCCCCGAGAAAACGGGCGTCATCGTCGTCGTCGGTGCTGTCGGGAGGAGAATCGACTGGGGCCCTAGACAAACAATCGGCGTCATTATGATTGCGGCCAGACTTGTGCACATTGGTCACGTTGAATTCTTGCAGTCAAAGGCTCCAGTGAGCGAGGCGTCCTGACGGCTCCTTGAGGTTGGCGAGCCAACAGAGAGCGTGGTGGTCCGTGGCAACGCGGAACGGGATGCCGTACAGGTACGGGCGGAACCTGATTAACGCTTAGACGACAGCGGGACATTCCTTGTCGGTCGTTGAGTAATTTTCTCTGCCTTGGACAGTGCCCGGCTTGCGTAAGCGATCACCCTCTCTGCTTTGTCTTGTCCTTGGACGAGCACCGTGCTTAGTCCGGCGTTGCTGACGTGTGTGAACTTCCGTTTCCGCTGATGGATCGAAGTGTCCAAGGATAAGGGGCGCCTGGAGTCTTTCCTTCAGTTCGTTGAACGCGTGTTCTTGCTCCCCTCTCCCCCCCCCCCCCCCCCCCCCCAAACTGGAAGTTCACGTCGTCCTTTGTCAGATGCGTGAGCGGTGCAGAAATCTCGGAAAAATCGCGAACGAAATGTCTGTAGTAAGCGCACAGCCCAAAAAATCTTCGTACGGCTTTTTTGTCTGATGGCTTCGGAAATTCGGCGACAGTGGATGTCTTTGCAGGCTCAGGACTTACACCTTGAGCACTCACGACGTGGCCCAGGAATTTGAGCTTGCCGTAAGCGAACCGACATTTTGACGCCTTTAGTGTCAGTCCAGCATTCTGTATAGCCTGTAGCACGGCTCGCAAACTCCTCAGGTGCTCGTAGAAGTCTCTTTCGAATACCTCGACGTCGTTGAGATAGACGAGACAGCTTTGCTATTTCAAGCCGGAAAGAACGGTGTCCATTGCGCACTGGAACGTCGCCGGTGCAGTGCATAGTCCGAACAGCATCACTTTAAATTCGTACAGCCCTTCCGGCGTGACGAAGGCAGTCTCTTCACGGTCTCGTTCGTCGACCTCGATCTGTCAGTACTGTAAAGACTCGGGGCTTGTCCATGTAGTCGATCTCCGCTGGTGCCATGCGTCGCCCGGCCAGGACATCGGGCAGAGTTGGTAGCGAGCCAGGGTGTCTCTTCTCAAACTGTTTATTTACATACTATGTACAGTCTGCCGTTCGGCATGAGAACAACGTGAGAACACAGAAAGAGCGCGTAAAACCGCTCTTTTTATGAGGTCCCCCTTCCCTACGTCCCTAGGCCAGGACGCCGTTTTCCAACTGGTCAGGCACCGCCCACTCGCACGCACAAGCACACACAGAGAATAAGTGCTCTTCCGGTTCCTCGAGGCTTGTAGTGGCAGCCGTTTCTTCAGTGACGCTTGAGATTTGGCCTTGCTCCTGGAATCTAGGTCGAGGTGACACCGAGAAGCTCATTCCCAAACGTCCAGGCACCGCCTATGAGCACGCCCAAACGGACACACCGGTTAATCGTTTCATGACTCTAAGAGAGCACGAACGCCCGGAGGATACCGTCCCCCTCCTTAGTCGGGACGGAGAAGACCTTGGACGCCGATATCCGGGCAGTTCCCGTTCACGGCTTATCTCCCTCTTTCGGCTTAGCAGGGATCACCGTGGCCGTTAGTTCCTGCTTGGACGCCTCGAGGAGAACGCATTTCCGTTTCAGCACCTAACTTGAGCCGGTATCGACGACGGCTTGTCTTGCTCTTTTGTCGACGGTACCCGGGCAGCGGGGAAAATAATCCCGGATTGAGACTATCAGCGAAAGGCGCGTCCTCGGGAATGTTGGAGAAGGGGTGGCGTTCCGCGTCCAGGTGCGGCCGCGAAGGTCGTTCGTTACAGCTCCTCCACGCAAAGGCAGATCTCGGAAGGGGAGAGGTATCAGCTGCTTTACTGGAGAGATCAGCTTCGAAATCGTCGTGAGCGGCCAACACATCAACAGAGATACGAACCGCTACAACCAAATCCAGCGAGTGGCAACACCCTCTCCCCAACCGCCAGGCCTTTTTCTGCGGCAATAAACCTATCACTTTTTCTGCCATTGACACCACCAAGGAAAGCCCGCCATTGGGCAACATTGCACAAAGCGAAATCGCTGACATGTGTGAAGATTACAAAAAGTAAAAGAAAACGCAATGAAACTTAAAATTTGGCCCAACTCGCAAGGCAACATCCAAAACAAATAATCTCAAAACGACCTGTTAAGTCCGTCTACGTTGGAGTTAGCCGCGTCAAAGGGCAGTGGTCGGTGACGAAAACGAACGGAGCTCCGTAAAGGTAACAGGAGAGCTTTCGAGTTGCCCAGACGAGAACGAAGCAAGAGGACTTGATCGCCCTCCCGGTACTCGCGGACACGGGCGTTTCGGTCGTGATACCGTTTCGCTCTGATCTGGACCTCGCGCATATTGACCTCCGCCATTTCTCTCGTGCTTCGGGATCGCTCTAGCAGATGAAGAATGTACTCAACCACGCTCGGATCGGATCCCTTGGTCTCCCAAGTTTCGCGGAGCAGCCGCAGTGGAGTCCGCCAACACCGTCCATACACTAGTTCGGCCGGGCTGAAGCCGGTTGCCTCGTGAGCCACAGAGCGCAGCGCGAACAACATTACCGGCAGGCAGGCGTCCCATTCGTTCCCACTCGCATAAGTTAACGTCCTCGGGACCCGTTCCCTAACTGAATGACACCTCTCAACACTGTTTGACTGCGGGTGATTTACCGAACTATGGATAACCTTTATACCGCACTTCTCGAAGAAGCCAGTAGTCAAAGCGCTTGTGAAAACGCTGCCTTGGTCACTCTGTACCTCTTGGGGGAAGCCTACCCTGGTGAAAATTGACAGAAGTGCGTTCACCACCTCCACCGAACTCTGTTCCTTCATCGGGACCGCTTCCGGGAACTTGGTAGCCGCGCACGTGACCGTTAGAGCATAGCGGTACCCAGCCTTAGTAGCCGGAAGAGGACCCACCACATCAATGACCACCCGCCTGAATGGCTCCGAGATTATGGGTACGAGTCCCAGGGGCGCTTTGCACGTTTCATTGGGTTTGCCCACCTTCTGACAGACATCGTATGCCCGCACCTGAGACTCGGAATCTCGGAGGCATCCCGGCCAGTAGAATTAAGTGATGAGCCGTTCTTTCGTATTTTTGTTGCCCAAGTGACCGGACCATCCCGCTCCGTGGCACAGACGCAACGCATCCGCTCGATATTTCTCCGGCACTACCACCTGATCAAACGTGCGACCCGACCGATCTCGGTAGTGTCGGTACAGCACGCCATCTCTTACAGGAAATGTAACGTTTTTGCTAGCCACGCCCTCCTTGGAGGTTTCCCAAATCTTATCTAGACTAGGATCAGCCCTTCGCTCCTTGATGAGAACTTCCTTCGTTACGGACACGAGTTTCTGAAAGTTTCTTGACGCCGGGGGCAATATTAACTAGTTCGTTTCGGTTAGCTGTTCCTGGCGAGTTTCTGTTTCGACCGCGACGTTTTCCTCACTACCCCGGTCTTTCTCTGCTCCCCCGGAACTGGTTTGCTCCGAGACCCCAGTTGGCGGATCTTTCGGTTTTCCTAGGCTAGCCTCGTCATAACTGAGCCGCGTTGAAATCTCGCGGGCTTTAGCCCTCGTGAGCGCTTGAACGAGTCCCTCCCCGAGGCTCTTGCCCTGTTCTTTCAAACTCCTGTCTGTTCGGTTCGAAAATAGGTAGGGGTACTGTGGCGGCAGTTTGTCTGAAACAGCCGCCTCAGTACGCCCCTCTCCGAATGGTCCAGAAATCAGAACATCGGCCACAGGGAGACACACGCTCCCCTCGTCCAGCACCGACTTGATCCAGCTACATTTCCCATTGTAATGGGTCTCGGTAACGTACGACGGGTGAATTAGGTCAATGGTAGCCCCACTGTCGCGCAACACGCGGCACGACTTTCCGTTCACTGTCATGTCGAAAAGATACGGACTCAGGAGCTCCTCATTCTCCTCGCACTTACTCGCTAAGGCGAAAACCACCTTTGGTTTTTGACATCCCGCGGCAATGTGCCCAGTTTCGTGGCAATTGAAGCACCTTATCGGCCTCCTCGCCCCAAAAAGTTTCTTTTGTCGACTGTCTGGCCCGTTGCCCCGGGAGGTCGTGGAGATATTCTCCTCCTTGTCTTCCTCCTTTCGCGTCTCTGGTCTTTTCCAGCCCCCTTCCTTCCGCTCATCCCCGCTTTCCTTCTCAAAGGCTCTCCTCATTCCCTCTTTCCCGCCTCTACGGGAACTGTACTCATCCGCAAGGTCTGCAGCTCGGTAAACAGAGTCTACTCCTGACTTATCTTGAAACCAGGTTGGCATGCTTTCAGGAAGAGTCTTACAGAACTGTTCGAGCGCGACCGTCTCCAGCATTTTCTCTTTGTCGTCATACGACTCGGCGACCTTCATCCACTCGACGAGGTACGACCGAAGTTCGTATGCGAACTCCGCATAACTGGCTTCCGACTTTTTCGTCACGCCCCTGAACTTCTGTCTGAACGCTTCTGCCGACAACCGATACTTCTTGAGCAGGCAGCTCTTCACGCGGTCGTATTCGCCCCAGTCGTCCGCGGATAACCTCGCGATTACCCCGGCTGCCTCGCATGGCAGAACACTCAGCAACCTTCTGGCCCAAAATACCCGATTAAAACGGGCCCTCTCGCAAGCTCTCTCGAAGTTTACCAGGTAGAGGCCCATGTCCTGTCCCACCTTGAAAGCCTGAATAAGCTTGGTCATGTCATAGAGACTTCGGGTGCCCTCTACCTCCGTTTCCCGTCCTCCGCTCGTTTTGCTTAGCTCCACCTCGAGACGACGTTTTTCTAGTTCTAATTCCTTGAATTTTGCTTCGTCTCCTTTTTTTGTTTCGATTTTTTTCCCACATCTCTTCGATTTCCTCGTTGTCAAGTTTTTCGTCCTGGATAGCCTTAACAAGCTCCGTTTTTTTCATCGATATGTTCGCGTCTACCCCGAGCTCCTCACACAAGTCGAGCAACTGACACTTTAGCAAACGCTGCAGATCCATGTCTGTGACCTATCTGGGTGGCAAAACTCTGCACTACCGACAAACAACAACCTTAAAATTGCCTTTTCGGTAGTTCCTTACGCCCCTGCAAGATGCACCTCGATCTTACAGGCCTGGCGACAGAGAAAAGAGGCCGTCACTCACCAGACTCGGCTCACGGCCCATGAGATTCGTTGTTGCTGACGCTCAATGGTCGTAGCTGTCGATCCCACCGCTGCCACCAGTTGTAGAGACTCGGGGCTTGTCCATGTAGTCGATCTCCGCTGGAGCCATGCGTCGCCCAGGACATTGGGCAGAGTTGGCAGCGAGCCAGGGTGTCTCCTCTCAAACTGTTTATTTACATACTACGTACAGTCTGCCGTTCGGCATGAGAACAACGTGCGAACACAGAAAGAGCGCGTAAAACCGCTCTTTTTATAAGGTCCCCCTTCCCTACGTCCCTAGGCCAGGACGCCGTTTTCCAACTGGTCAGGCACCGCCCACTCGCACGCACAAGCACACACAGAGGATAAGTGCTCTTCCGGTTCCTCAAGGCTTGTAGTGGCAGCTGTTTCTTCAGTGACGCTGGAGATTTGGCCTTGGTCTTGGAATCTAGGTCGAGGTGACACCGAGAAGCTCATTCCCAAACGTCCGGGCACCGCCTATGAGCACGCCCAAACGGACACACCGGTTAATCGTTTTGTTGACTCTAAGAGAGCACGAACGCCCGGAGGATACCGTCCCCCTCCTTAGTTGGGACGGGGAACACCTTGGACGCCGATATCCGGGCAGTTCCCGTTCACGGCTTATCTCCCTCTTTCGGCTTAGCAGGGATCACCGTGGCCGTTGGGTCCTGCTTGGACGCCTCGAGGAGAACGCATTTCGGTTTCAGCACCTAACTTGAGCCGGCATCGACGACGGCTTGTCTTGCTCTTTTGTCGACGGTACCCGGGCAGCGGGGAAAATAATCCCGGCTTGAGGTTATCAGCGAAAGGCGCGTCCTCGGGAATGTTGGAGAAGGGGTGGCGTTCCGCGTCCAGGTGCGGCCGCGAAGGTTGTTCGTTATAGTACCCACTCTTCAGGTCCATCGACGAAAAGTATTGGGCGTGCCGTAGCCGGTCCAGAGTGTCGTCGATGCGTGGCAGCGGGTAGACGTCCTTTTTTGGTACGGCGTTCAGTCGGCGATAGTCCACGCAGAACTGAAGAGTCCCGTCTTTTTCACCAGGACTACCGGTGAAACCCACGGACTGCTTGAGGGCTGGACAATGTCGTCGTCGAGCATTTTCTAGGCCTGCGTCTGGATGACTTCTCTCTCTTTCACAGAGCCACGGTACGGTGACCGATGAACAGGAAGCGCGTCGTCTTCAGTAACAATTCGATGTTTCGCAACGGTCGTCTGGCGCACCTTTGACGATGAGAGAAGCACTCATCGAACTCGGCGAGAAAGTCACTAAGTTTTCGTCGTTGTGGGGTAGGCGGGGTTGGGTCGATGTCGAACTGCGACGGCGGCGTTGTCTTGGGTGGCCACAAAAAGAGGTCGTCTGATATTCCGACGATTGCGGCTGAGTCCGAGAGTGCCTCAGTGTGACCCACAGCGGTGCCTTTCGTAAGGTGCTAAGCCTCCTGTCAGAAGTTTGTTACGTGTGCGACAGTGTGTCCGTCTTGGAGCTCCGCGATGCCTCTTGCGACGCAGATCCTTCTTCCTAGAAGCAGCTGGAGGCTTTCTTCGAGCAGAACTTTGCCGCAGAAAGCCTCATCGATCCCTACGGGTACTAAAACACTCGACCGCGGCGGTAAGTTCACGTGGTTTGCGAGGACTCGTACCGCGGTCCGCGGATGACGCGTAGCTTTGGGTTCTTCCGGTGGTGGAGCAGGTTTTCGTAGCGTCAGCCGGTTTGCTCCTAGGTCGATGACGGCGCCATACTCGCAGAGCAAGTCCATTCCGAGGATAGCGTCCCTCACGCAGTCTTCCAGAACGAACCTGACAGGGCACGTCTCACCATGGATCTCGACGCGGGCAGTGCAGATACCGACTGGTGTGATGAGATGTCCACCGGCGGTTCGTATCTGCGGTCCGTCCCGCGACGTCATAACTTTCCGAAGGCGACGAGAGAGTCTCCCACTCAAAACGGAGTAGTCTGCTCCGGTATCGACGAGCGCCGTCGCGTCGTGACCGTCGATGATAACGTTGAGGTTATTCGACACTGTTGCAGAAACGTCGTTTCGGGGCGTTGCGGCGTTAGAGTGGGAGAGCTCCGACGATCTTGGACGATCTTGGCATCGTTCGTCTTCAGCAACACCACCTCCAGACATTGCCGCGCCTAGTTTTACCGACGGGAAGCGATGGGTGACAGGCTCTCTAGAGAAGAGCGGCGGAAGGGCGATGACGAGCGTTGCGGAGACGATGAACGGAATCGTCGGCGGGCAGACGACTCAGGAGATGACGAGCGGCGGAGGTAGTCCTCGATGTCCCGAGGTCGCTCTCCAAGACGTGGTCGAGGGTTGTTGGGTGCAAACCTTCGTAGGCACAGCTGGAGTTAGGGACATCGACTGTAGATGTGGTCCGCTTCACCGCAGTGGTAGCACAGCGGGCGTGTCGGCCGTCTACCACGGATCCGTCTTCCCAGGCGCCGGTTGTTTAGTACGGACGAGCTGGGGCTGCCCTTCCCGACGTCGGAAGGTCTGCGGCTCTGGCTCACATCGCGGCGGCGTGGAATACTGCCGGGCAGCTGGCGCCGGTCTCCGAGCTTCTGCCGCGTAGGTCAGGGAAGGCTCCTCGGGTGTTGCTACGCTGGTAGGAGCCTCCGGTTGAATTGCCCGCTGAACTTCTTCGCGTACCACTTTGGCTATCGACAGCGAAGCCGGCTGGTTGGCAGCAGGCAGCAGCTTCATGAGCTCTTCCCGGACGACGTCTCGAATTACCTCGCGAATGCCTGGCATACTGGAGCCGAGGTCACAGCTAGACGGCGCGAGGGCAGCGAGGCCGGGTGGTCGATGGTAGTGATTGGCTCGGGCTTGCAGGGCACGCTCGATGTTTGTCGCCTCGGTGACAAAATCTTCGACTTTTGTCAGAGGCCTAGGAACAAGGCCGCCGAAGATTTTGTCTCTCACGCACCGCATGAGAATTCTAACCTTCTTCTTTTCTGTAGCCTGAGGGTCGGCGCGGGCGCTCAGGCGCAGAACGTCTTCCACGAAGCCGGTGATGCTCTCGTTAGGGACTCGAGCTCTGGTACGAAGTAAGCCTTCGGCTCTCTCTCGGCGGTGCTGGTTGACAAATGTCGCCTTCAGCTGGTTCTTGAAAACGTCCCACGATGTCAAAGAAGACGCGTGGTTTTTGTACCAGTACCTGGCAGTCCCCTCGGGCGCGACAGATACACGTTTTGCAGCCGTCGATGATTGGTCCAACCATTGTGGCGGGCAACGCGTTCGTACTGGTCGATCCAATCTTCGACGTTTTCGTGGCGTTCACCGTGGAACGTGGCAGCCGTCCGTGGTGCGACGGGCAGGTAGATAATGGCAGAAGCGGCTTGCGTCTAAGACTGGTTGGCCATCGTCGTCTTCTTCGGCTTGGGCTTGTCCGGCAGCAAACCCAATTCAGGAGACTGACCTCTGGTACGACGGCTTCTTCGGGCTTCGGCGTCTTCGGCGAAGGGTAGCCTTCCGGGGCTGAGCACGTCGCTTGGCCTGGATGTCTTTGGACAAGTGATGAGGCGGCGAATAACTGAGTAAACGGAACGTTTATTGGGGCGAACTTGTGCCCCCCCCCCCCCCCCCCAAAAAAAAAAAAAAAAAGGAAACAGAAGATAAGAGCAGAGCGTCGCGGGTGTCGAAGTCGGCGCAACAGCAGGTTTGAGCGCTGGGGCGAGACTGACTCCGGCGTCCCACGCGGAGCCCCTTTTGTACACGCGTGGGCTCCTGGAACATTCAGCGTAGAGGGTTCGGTGCGTAGAACATTCTAACCTCGAATCAGCAAGACGGTTCTCGAATTTACCAGACCATCACATTACAGCGTCAACAAAAATGTGTAGACGCGGCCAGGAATCGAACCCTGACCTTCTGCGAGGAAGGCAAGCGCGACAAACGTCAGGCCACGGGCGCGCTGCCTACTTGGTCAGCTGCGCTCGCGGCAATATTAAGCAGCTCTGGCTTAGTGTACTTAAGTTAAGTGTGTTTCTGCTATTTCAATAGCATTTGAGTTTATGTGTCTTCATGTGATAATATGTAATTCTATGCCAATGTTGCTCGTGTTGACTTGTGACTGTGCGGTGCATTAATAACTAACGTTTACTAGATATCGCAATGAGTATTTCGTTTTAGGCAGTGTTTAATATTTAATTGCGTGGAAAGGGTAAACTGCAGTGTTGTATTGAAACTGTGTTTGTTGCGAAAGTCTTGCTTTCTGTATATTTGTTCATCACTGCACTCCTGTAACAGCCCTAGAAAGGGGCCAACAGTATGTATAAATAAAATAAAAATAAATAAAAGTTTAAAGTCGGTTACGACACATCATAATTTTATACTCCTATAAACACATTGTATGTTACTACAACCACAGCAGAAGGTGTTAATGTCGCTGCACTAGAAGTTACGTACAAACAAATTCTAGAGAAACAAAGTAGCTCATTTTCAATTCAACAGAAGTTGCGCAAAAAATATTTTAAAGCACTGTAAAAGTAGTTGTTGTTGGGTTAGTTGGGGATTAATGTTTTGAGCAACGGTTAAAATTGCTAATAAG